GTTGGACGGACGCATCCCTGGATCTAAAGACCAGCCCGACGCAATTAATATATTCTTCGGCTATGTCCTTATGGGGAAAATAAATCATTTCAAAGCGCCTGCACTCGCTACGTTGCTTTGTCATCTTGAGGACACGGTTTCCCTTGATCAACAATTGGACAAATTCTGGGAATTAAAGACACTTCCTGATGCACCTCGTCTATCTCCCGATGACATTAAGGCGGAACAAACATTTGTCAGCACACACCGGCGAGACCAGCCGTCTGGTCGGTTCATCGTCGACTTACCTTTTAAGGAAGAAGCCCCTATCTTCCCAAATATCCGATCTCTGGCTTTACAGAGGTTTTATTCCCTTGAGCGGAGACTTAAGAAGCAGCCTGAGATTTACTCGCAATATCGCGATTTCATGAACGAATTTATTGCGCTTAACCACATGGAATCTATTCCAGACGATTCGTTCAGTCCCCTCACTGTTATTATCTATCCCACCATTGTGTTTTAAGGCCGGAAAGTTTAACCAGTAAACTAAGGGTGGTTTTTAACGGTTCCCCACACGTTCCCAACCAGCCTTCCCTCAATGATATATTCACCGGTCCAAAACTCCAGAGTGATATATCTACAATATTATTAAATGTTCGTTTATTCAAGCCGGCATCGTATAGTCTTAGGAGCCTACCTCGATTTAAAATTTAAAACTTAAATGGATAGAAGGAACGTCGGAAACCTAGCAGGATATAGTGTTTACGAAACCGCACCACTCTACGCGCTCTTTAAGAATCTCGGTACGAAAATTCGCTTATTTTTCGCCTCCGGCGCACCCTTAGCGAAATACGGCCCTTTTTCGAATTTTTTTTTTTCAATTTTAAAATGGCCATAACTCGAAAACGGTTCGTTTTGTGGGAAAACCGAGCAATTTTTTGCCCCATAGGGGACGCTTTACCACCCCATTTTACGGGAATCCGGTATCGATTTCCCCATTTTCTTGATTTTGATACCCCCGCCGGAATCGTATAGAGTATTGCGAGCCTACCTCGATTTAAAATTTAAAACTTGAATGGATAGGAGGAACGTCGGAAACCTACCAGGCTATAGTGGTTACGAATCCGCACCACTCTACGCGAATTATAATGAGCTCGGTACGAAAATTCGCTTATTTTTCGCCTCCGACGCACCCTTACCGAGATACGGCCCTTTTTCGTATTTTTTTTTCGATTTTAAAATGGCCATAACTCGAAAACTGTTCGTCCAATCAAAAAAAGGACAAAATTTTCACCCCAAAGGGGTCGCTTCTCACCCCCCTTTACTCTTAGAAGACATTTTCTCCGATTTTTTTTTTCAAAAATTACAAAATTCGAGGGGGTAAAATTTGGAGGGGGGGGTTGAGACTTTGTCAGTCGATTCCCCACGCCGAGTCGGCAGGTCCACCTAATTAATAACGCCGAGGCCGGTACGAAAATTCGCTTATTTTTCGCCTCCGACGCACCGTTTCCGAGATACGGCCCTTTTTCGAAAATTTTTCGAAAATGTCGAAATCTCGAAAACGGCTCGTCGGATCGAAAAACGCACGAAATTTTCGCCCCAAGGGGGTCGCTTCCCACCCCCGTTTACCCTTAGAAGGCATTTTCTCAGATTTTTTTTTTCAAAAATTACAAAATCCGAGTGGGTAAAATTTGGAGGGGGGGGTTGAGACTTTGTCAGTCGATTCCCCACGCCGAGTCGGCCGGTCCGCCTAATTAGTGACACCGAGGTCGGTACGAAAATTCGCTTATTTTTCGCCTCCGACGCACCGTTTTCGAGATACGACGATTTGAAAATTTTGAAAATTTTTCCAAAAAACCGCCGTATCTCGGAAACGGTTCGTCGTAGCGAGAAACGGAGCGAATTTTCGCCCCAAAGGGGACGGTTTCCGACCCCGTTTTACCCGGATCCGACATCGTTTCCGCCATTTTCGGGAAAAAAGTTCTTTCGGTGGCGGTAACTCCGCCCCCCGCGCGCCGCTTTTATGCGGGGACTAGGGCGGTATCTGATCGCCTTCGAACCTCTAACTTTCGTTCTTGATCAATGAAAACGTTTTTGGCAAATGCTTTCGCTTCTGTCCGTCTTGCGACGATCCAAGAATTTCACCTCTAACGTCGCAATACGAATGCACCCATCCGTTCCTATTAATAATTACCTCGGGGTTCCGAAAACCAACAAAATAGAACCGAGGTCCTATTCCATTATTCCATGCACACAGTATTCAGGCGAAGTTTTAGCCTGCTTTAAGCACTTGTTCAAAGTAAACGTGCCGGCCCACCTCGACACTCAATGAAGAGCACCGCGGCAGGATTGAGTTGGACCGCCCGCGTGAACGGGCTAAGTCCACCGGCAGGACGTCTCGCGGCACGCCAGTTAACACCGCGGACGATGAACCGGCGGCGCGAGACACAAATTCGACTACGAGCTTTTTAACCGCAACAACTTTAATATACGCTATTGGAGCTGGAATTACCGCGGCTGCTGGCACCAGACTTGCCCTCCAATTGATCCTCGTTAAAGGGTTTAGAGTGTACTCATTCCGATTACGGGGCCTCGGATGAGTCCCGTATCGTTATTTTTCGTCACTTCCTCCCCGTGCTGGGAGTGGGTAATTTGCGCGCCTGCTGCCCTCCTTGGATATGGTAGCCGTTTCTCAGGCTCCCTCTCCGGAATCGAACCCTGATTCCCCGTTACCCGTTACGACCATGGTAGGCGCAGAACCTACCATCGACAGTTGATAAGGCAGACATTTGAAAGATGCGTCGCCGGTGCGAGACCGTGCGATCAGCGTAAAGTTATTCAGAGTCACCAAGTTGAACGATATCGGGCGCGAACCCGCCACCGATTGGTTTTGATCTAATAAAAGCACTCCTTCCGTCTCCGGTCGGACCTCTGTTTGCATGTATTAGCTCTAGAATTACCACAGTTATCCAAGTAATTGTGGGTACGATCTAAGGAACCATAACTGATTTAATGATCCTTTCGCGGTTTCACCTCGAATTTGCGTATACGGATCGCCTTTGTATGCGGACCGCCTCCGTATGCGGACCGGCTCCATATACGGAACGCCTTTATATACGGACCGCCTCCAAATACAGACCGCCTTCGTATACGGACCGCCTCCATATACTGATCGCCTCCATATACGGATCACCTCCATATGCGGACCGCCATTATATACGGACCGTCTCTAAATACAGACCGCCTTCGTATACGGACCGCCTCCATATACGGACCGCTTCCATATAGGGATCGCCTCCATATACGGAACGCCTTTATATACGGACCGCCTCCAAATACAGACCGCCTTCGTATACGGACCGCCTCGATATACGGACCGCCTCCATATACTGATCGCCTCCATATACGGATCACCTCCATATGCGGACCGCCATTATATACGGACCGTCTCTAAATACAGACCGCCTTCGTATACGGACCGCCTCCATATACGGACCGCTTCCATATAGGGATCGCCTCCATATACGAAACGCCTTTATATACGGACCGCCTCCAAATACAGACCAACTTCGTATACGGACCGCCTCGATATACGGACCGCCTCTATATACTGATCCCCTCCATATACGGATCACCTCCATATGCGGACCGCCATTGTATACGGACCGTCTCTAAATACAGACCGCCTTCGTATACGGACCGCCTCCATATACGGACCGCTTCCATATAGGGATCGCCTCCATATACGGAACGCCTTTATATACGGACCGCCTTGATATACAGACCGCTTCCATATATTGATCGCCTCCATATACGGATCACCTTCATATACAGACCGCCATTATATACGGAACGTCTCTAAATACAGACCGCCTTTGTATACGAACCGCCTCCATATACAGACCGCCTCTCTATACGGACCGCTTCCATATAGGGATCGCCTTCATATACGGAACGCCTTTATATACGGACCGCCTCCAAATACAGACCGTCTTCGTATACGGACCGCCTCGATATACAGACCGCTTCCATATATTGATCGCCTCCATATACGGACCACCTCCATATACAGACCGCCATTATATACGGAACGTCTCTAAATACAGACCGCCTTTGTATACGGACCGCCTCCATATACAGACCGCCTCTATATGTAAACCGCTTCCATATGCGGACCGGCTTTATATACGGACCGCTTGGCTGTTTGATATCTAATTAAAACTAATAAAAAAACCGATCAAAACTTAGAATTGAACATCACCATGATTCAGAACGTTTTGAAATTGAAATAAAAATGTTAAGATATGTGATTACGTATTTTTGAAACGTTCGTCTCGAAACGTTTCGTTCGACGTTAAAGGAAAAAGGAATGGGAAAGGGAAAATAAATTTATTTCATTTTTATTTATTATCGAAAACGAATTCTTTAAAAATCGATTTGGCGGTTCTAAAAAGAACCTTGAAGGTCGCCTGAAATATAACAAATTAGTATTGATAATAAAAAATCCTTGGCCGGTTGTGAACGTCTCGTAGATCTGAAACATTTAAAAAAAAAGGATTAGTTACGTTATGAGATAGTGTGTCGCGAATCGGGTTATCGTCGTATTTTTCTCTATCGTTCGATTGTCCGCGGTATCGAACGTAACGAATAATTTCGACCCTCGTGATGGGATTAAAGTCATAATCGGGTAAAAGTCTCAATCGGGTGAACGTCTTTGTCGGGTTAGAGTTTTAATCGGGAAAAAGTCATCGTTCGTACCGGCGGCAGGAAATATTGGAACTCGTGTACTTAATAAAAATTTGGAAAATGTAATATTTTTATTTGGTAAAAGTCGTGATCGAGTAAACGTCATAATTGGGTAAAAAGTCACGATCGGGTGAAAAGGCTATATTGGGTAAAGGACGTCGTCGGTAAAAAGTCGCCCTCGGTTACAAGTTATTATCGGTGAACTGTCATCGTTGTGTCGTAAAATGGGGTCGTAAAATGGAAACGAAAATGTAAAAAGTGGCAAATTTTCGAATTCAATTGAAGATTTTATCTAAAAACGCCCTATAAACGATATTCTGCGTGAAAACTGGATTATTTTTGCGACCGTCTTTAAAGAAACGACCCTGTCTACGACTTTCCTTTACAAAAATGCGAATATCCTGCCAAGTACGCACTCTGGACAAAGCGACGTACAATTGACCGTGAGCAAAACACGGGACGTTGAGACACAAACCGACTCGCGAAAGAGTCTGTCCTTGCGCTTTGTTGATAGTAATTGCGTGCGCCAACTTAATCGGATATTGTTTTCTATAATATGTGCCGCCGCCCGGTAGCAATGGCGTTTCTTTTTCCTCTAAAACGAATTGTTTTCTGATAGTGACACATTTACGGCCCTGAAATTCACCGGAAACGATGCGGCCGACTATCACGTCATCGCCCATCTCCAAAACGATCATTCTCTGTCCGTTACAAAAACCCCTCCGCACGTTAAGATTTAGCAAAAGGACTACCACCGAACCGATCTTCAAAGTCAACCGATGTGGCGGTAGTCCCGACAAATCTAAACTTTCGATAATTTCACTGGTGACTCCCGTCGCGAGGGGATTGGCGATTTCGTGATCGTCGGCCCCATCCTCGTTACTCTGTCTATCGTAGGAATTGGTCGCCAAAAAGACCCTCTCCGATCCTGACGGATCGGGGAAGATCTTTGAGATGATTTCGTTCAACTCCTCGACCTCGCTGTTCACGGGATAAAGGATCGACCGGAGGGCCAATCGCTCGGCTAATTCCAAGAATCGCTCGTTCGTCACGGGAAGAGCGAGCATCGATTCGAAGACGTCCCCGTAAACAAAGTCGACGAGTTGTTCGCGCGATTTGACAATTAATTTGGAAGGAACGAACAGACAGTTATCGGAAATCGGTTCGCGTCCGTTGTCCGAAACGATTCTTTCCCCGTCGCCTACTCTCCTGATGAAATTCGACCATTCCACCTCTTGCGGATGAACACGCATGTTTTCCGTTAACGTGCACAGTTGAAAAGTACTCCATGCCGGATGCGAAACGATGGACGCCATTCCCGCTCGCCTACCCTTGACAACGGGAAGCAACTGCTTGGGATCGCCGCTAAGAATAACGGTTTTCCCACTGAACGGCCGTCGCGATTGACCGTATTCCCGACACACGGCATCGATCATTTCCAACATCCACGACGCCAACATAAACACCTCGTCTAACACGACGAGTCTCGCGTTTCGAATATCGTCGGCCGCCTCCGACTCGCCCACCAAATTAGAAACCGGCGTATCGTCTACGCCTCTTTCTCTAGGAATGCCGAAAGAAGAATGAATCGTAGCCGCGTTCCGGATTAACGTGGCCGCGATCCCCGTAAAAGCCGCGGATACGTACGGTAACGCGCGAAGTTCCGCCACTTCCGAAATAACGTTGACGGTCGCGGTTTTGCCGGTGCCCCCTTCGCCGGTCAAAACGAAAACGATACCGTTACGATTGCATACAGACTGTAAAACCTCGTAAACGAATCCCAGCTGTTGATCGTTGAGATCGATCAGATGCAAATTTTGATTCGGTCTCGGAACGAAAGCGAATTCCTCGAACGTAACCTCTTCCTCGTCCAAAAGTTGTTCCGCCTCCTCGTCGTAAACCCAATCGGAAATCCAATCCCGAGGAAGATTAATTTTTTCCATCGAAGTGGAGCATTCGACCAGAAATCGATCTACGAAACTCCAAAGGACCGTATACCGACACGTACGGAGCACGTGCATCCTTTCGTTTAAGTCGCCCGCGCCCTCTTCGTCGATATCTCTGATTAAATCGATATGAATCCTAAGCACGTCCGCGGACATACGCCTGCACCATCTCTTAAATAAAGTTCGGGGATTCTTCGACGGATTGTACAAGAGAATTAGAGCGAACGCTTCCCTTAAATAAAACGGATGACGAAGACGATCCGCTATCCAATCTAAAATCTTGTCCGCCTCTTCGTCGTCGTCCGGGATCAATTTTAACGCTACGCAAGCGGCCTGATACGAAGGACATAAAACGCCGTTTACGGTTTTCGCGTCCACGAACGAAATCAAACCTGTCACGTTGCCCAAAATCATTCGTAGATAGTAGCGCTCCATATTCCCCGGACTCGGATAAACCGGACTCATACGACCTATAGAACTGGTGGGTCGCGACTTGGCGACCCAACGACCTTGCCGCCAAGAGTGCGTTTCGACGATGTCGACGTAGAACCGTCGCCGACCTGTCGCCTCCTCCGCCGCGTTCAATTCGAACCAAGCGACGAGCTTAGAACGCTCGCCCCTTTCGACTACGGCCACCTCGTCCCCTTCCCTGTAAATTTCACAAGCCTCTCCTTCCAAATGCACGGGCAACTTTTCGATCGTGTGACCGATATGGAACATGCCATTTCCCAAGATGCGATAGACCGCCTCGTGCTGTCCGATATATCTCATTTTAAGGAATGCCGCCGCCTCGTTCCAATCGATCGTACCGGTGGTCGTATTCACTTGCATCTCAACGCATTGGATGTTCGCTACGTCTAACCCCTTATTGACGTAGGCGTTAATGTATCGACACACCTGGATCGGGTTTCCGACGCAAAGTTCCAAATTCGTTGCCGACGAAACGATTTTGTTGCCTGTTAAAAAAGCAAACACCCGGAGGACGTCTGTAAAGAATTTGCTTCTCGATCTTAAAAACGGTGCTCGATATTTGCTGTTTCGGATATTTCCACCGGCATCGATCGACAACGGTCCAGCAAGGCGGTCTTCTGACCCTCGAATTTTCGACACCTATCTCCCCCTCTTGTTCCTCCTCCTCGTCATTGTCGTCGATTTCCTGTTCGACGTTTTCCGGTTCGATATCGCACTTGTTATGTATCATGAACGTGTTGACCAAGTGACGAAGCGATTCGAAACCGTTACCGTCCGAAGGTTCGGGCCATCTCGCCCAAATGACCCTATCCACATCCTCTCCCGAAACGGGAACGTCTTCTCTGGACAAATAGAGAAGGATATGCGCGTGCGGAGCGCCGCGTTTTTGGAATTCTACCCTGACAACGTATCCTTCGATTTTCCCTAAGATTTGACGCTCGGTCAAATCTCCCATCAAGGCATTCAATTTTTGTTCGAATACGCGACACAAAACCTCCGGAAAGTTTCCTATGTCGGACACGGATTTGTCGCGGCCGTTCATCTCGTCGATTACCTCTTGCCAATTTTTGTTTGACGTGAACGTGAGAAGGTAAGTGGGAACTCTTCTCAATTTCGCGCACAAAGCCAGATAACCGTTGTGGTAGTACCGCCTGGTACCGGGAATCGTAGCCGGTAAGATGATGATGCGACCGGGACGTACGCGAGCTAGACCTTCATTTCCCTCGTTTATTTCCGCCGTCCGCATTTCCAAGAACCTTTTCAAACTATCGTAGGTATCGGATCGTAATACCTTTTGATTTTTTTCCGCCCAAGAAACGTCGTTGTACTCGATTTTGACGGCGGCGTCGATGATGTATTGTAAACGCAATTTACCTACCAAATCCAAGACATTCCAATAACGACCGCCCTTTGTCCTCGGAATATCCGATAACAACCGAAATCTGTAATATTGTCTCAACGTGTTGACCTTGTCAACGGATTCGTTCCAAGAACTCTCCGCGTGCAAATGAACCAAAGGATACAACATTAGATCTAGTGTGGCCGTGATAACGGAAATCTCTCTATACGGCAAAGCCGCGTCCTCCTCCAACGGTCTTGGAACAAACTCCACGTCGTAGTAGCAAGGGGGCCTGTCCCCGATGTAAATACCCGCGATCGTTTCGTTTCTCGGAAATTGAAGTCCCGAGATGCGAGCCGCGGCTTCGGATATCCTCCTACGGTGGTATCCCGCTTTACGTGGACCGTTTCGTTCGTCCTTGATCCGCGGATTAACGCATAAAACAATTTCCCTAACTTCCCTGTTATTGACGGCGGCGTTTTCGACCTCCTCCCTATATAATTGGCCTGCCCATTTAAAAATTTTACATAATCGATTTTCCCGTCTTAAATACGATTCGAATGAATCGACAACGTCCTCGGATAATTGTCCCGAAACGGTGGAAAAAGACCTTCGCAAATTGGCCGTGTTTTCCGATACGTCCATGAAATAAAGATGCGCCTCGTTAAAACGACGATTTCCTGTTCGATGCGAATCCGCCATAAACCTCACTTGACGATTGATTATTGCGGTCGATGTAGCCGGACGGCCCGATCCGTACATCCCTAGACCGGCGTAATTGCCCCTGGGATGGGCCATAGCGAAAATGCTATTATAGGCCCTGGAAAATTTTCCAAAATGCCGCATTAATTCATACTCGTCTACGTTCAATTTTCCTCTGGCATACAATTTGAGCAGGTTCAAAACGACCGGTTTCTTAAAGAACGCGTCTTCGCCCAAGACATTACGACCGGAAGAACAACATAACTCGCTTCGACCCGTTTTTCGATACAATTCGGGAAACCAAAAAGCAGCCCCGCAAAATGGACAAAACCACCTTTCCCTTCCTAGATAATGAGTTTCGATTAAATCAAAATCAACGTCCTCGTGATATACGGCATTTTGATAAAAATTGTTGATTCTCTCGTTTCGAATACGCCACTCTCGCTTGTGCGTATCGAACGGAGGTAGAGGGTGCCAAGCGCGACCCACTCTACCGCGGATGACCGGCCTCGAAGCTTCCGCCACCGATTCCGCGATGGAATCCAAATCGTCTTCGTCGTCGTCGTCTTTATTCTCGTTGTGTTGTTTTGACATCGTGATCGTCTCTTCCAAAGGACTCTTGGTAGGATTGACGCAAATTTCAACCGATTCTTCGCCAACGACAGACGGCTCCGATTCCCTGACGTTCTCGACGACGGAATCCCGGACAAAAGTGTCGACCTCCACACCTGACCTAGACAAATCGAAATTGCGCCGCATTTCGATATAACAATCGTAATGATTGTGTCCACTGTATCTTAACAAAATCGGATTGGTATCGTCCATTCTTCCCTGATCTAAGAGAATTTTTGCATTTTCGATTATCAAAAACCTCCTATTATAAAACGAAGAAAGTGCGAAAACTTCCATGGCGGAACCCCATTCGCCGTTTTTTGACATGACATTTTTGTAATCATCAAAATTTGTAAAATCGGTCCAAACCGCTAGATCGTTCCAATTGTTTTCCGCCGCCGCGACCGCGTTCGATCTTACCTGGAAATGTTGCCGGTCGTTACCGTGCAATCCCACGGCGATAGAACGAAACAAGCAATTCCCGTCGCCGGCCGCCACTCGATACCGTCCGTATCGATCGCTTCTAATTTGTTCGCTTTCCATTATTATTTTCGACTAGAAACTTCTGAATAAAAAAAAGAAAAACGCGAATAAATTATACGATAAAATGTGTAAGAACGCATAAATCGACACATATTTAAAGAAAAACGTTAAAAAAAAATTAGAACATTTAAAATTTAATAAGAACCGTCAAAATAACAGAACGATATCGCGACGTTCTGTATACAATTTAAATTTAAAGAAGGACATAAAAAAAAAACGAAAACGAAAATATCGTTCGCTCGAAACAAACGATATAATAACGTAACACATAGAATCAATGTAAAGAAAATGAGACACCCTGTATGTGATTAGAAGCAAACTATTTTATCGGAGTACGTGTGATGGTGTAAAAACAGAGTTACGCAACCCGCACATGATTTTACGTAGGAAATAATTTAAAGACATCCGGTATGTTTTTAAAAAATTAAATTTAAAATTATAAAGCCAAAGATGCAAAAACATTAGCAAATTTAAATCGAAATACTCATTTACCGCGGGGAACGATATCGCGACGTCCTGTATACAATTTAAATTCAAAGAAGGAAATAAAAATAACGAAAACGAAAGTATTGTTGACTCAAAAGAAGCGATATAATAACGTAACACATAGAACCAATATAAAAAAAATGGGACAACCTGTATGTGATTAAAAGCAAACTACCTTATCGAAGAACGTGTGATGGTGTAAAAACAGAGTTACGCAACCCGCGCATGATTTAACGTAGGAAATAATTTAAGGACATCCGGTATATTTTTAAAAAACTAAATTTAGATTTATGAAGTCAGAGATGCAAAAACTTTAACAAAATTAAATCGAAATATTCATTTGCCGCGGGGAATAATATCGCGACGTCTTGTATACAATTTAAATTCAAAGAAGGAAATAAAAATAACCAACACGAAAATATCGTTCGCTCGAAACATACGATATAATAACGTAACACATAGAACCAATGTAAAGAAAATTGGACAACCTGTATGTGATTAAAAGCAAACTACTTTATCGGAGTACGTGTGATGGTGTGAAAACAGAGTTACGCAACCAGCGTATGATTTTACTTAGGAAATAATTTAAGGACATCCGGTATATTTTTAAAAAACTAAATTTAAAATTATGAAGCCAGAAATGCAAAAACTTTTACAAAATTAAATCGAAATACTCATTTATCGCGGAAAAGGATCTTACAACGTCCTGTATACAATTTAAATTGAAAGAAGGAAATAAAAATAACGAACACGAAAATATCGTTCGCTCGAAACAAACGATATAATAACGTAACACATAGAACCAATGTAAAGAAAATGGGACAACCTGTATGTGATTAGAAGCAAACTATCTTATCGGAGTACGTGTGATGGTGTAAAAACAGAGTTACGCAACCCGCGCATAATTTTACGTAGGAAATAATTTAAAGACATCCGGCATATTTTTAAAAAATTAAATTTAAAATTATAAAGCCAAAGATGTAAAAACATTAGCAAATTTAAATCGAAATACTCATTTACCCCGGGGAACAATATCGCGACGTCCTGTATACAATTTAAATTCAAAGAAGAAAATAAAAATAACGAAAACGAAAGTATCGTTGACTTAAAAGAAGCGATATAATAACGAAACACATACAACCAATGTAAAGAAAATGGGACAACCTGTATGTGATTAAAAGCAAACTACCTTATCGGAGTACGTGTGATGGTGTGAAAACAGAGTTACCCAACCCGCGCATGATTTTACGTAGGAAATAATTTAAGGACATCCGGTATATTTTTAAAAAACTAAATTTAAAATTATGAAGCCAGAGATGCAAAAACTTTAACAAAATTAAATCGAAATACTCATTTGCCGCGGTGAACAATATCGCGACGTCCTGTATACAATTTAAATTGAAAGAAGGAAATAAAAATAACCAACACGAAAATATCGTTCGCTCGAAACAAACGAAATAATAACGTAACACATAGAACCAATGTAAAAAAAATGGGACAACCTGTATGTGATTAAAAGCAAACTACCTTATCGAAGAACGTGTGATGGTGTAAAAACAGGAGTTACGCAACCCGCGCATGATTTTAGGTAGGAAATAATTTGAGGACACCCGGTATATTTTTAAAAAATTAAATTTAAAATTATAAAGCCAGAGATGCAAAAACATTAGCAAATTTAAATCGAAATACTCATTTACCGCGGGGAACAATATCGCGACGTCCTGTATACAATTTAAGTTCAAAGAAGGAAATAAAAATAACGAAAACGAAAGTATCGTTGACTCAAAAGAAGCGATATAATAACGTAACACATAGAACCAATGTAAAGAAAATGGGACAACCTGTATCTGATTAGATGCAAACATTTTTATCTGAGTATGTTTAATCGTGTGAAAACAGAGTTACGCAACCCGCGTATGATTTTACATAGGAAATAATTTAAGGATAACCGGTATATTTTTAAAAAATTGAACATGACGCTAGAGATGTAAAAACCAATGCAAAGAAAAAAAAAAACTAAAATATATTAGCGAGAGATAGTCGCAACTCGAAAACTTTTTCTTCATGTCCGGGTAGGAGCACATAGCAATAGAAATATATTTAATTACCTTAAAAAAAGAAAATCAATCACAATTAACATTCTCGGGTGCACTTTTAAAACAAATTAAATGCAAATCTCGATGAAGATCATCCCACCTACATTGTCACCCCCACCAATTATTTAATATTTCGCGCCTAGGATAACGATCGCTAAGATCGTCGAACGTTGCCACGTTGAGCGCAAAACGTAGTTATTAAAAATGATGCGAGTTAATTTTTGTCTTTACTAATTATGAGAATCGTCGAAATCTATCTGGAAACACTTTCAACTGCATCCCGTCTCTTTTCGTTGAATTGAAATTGATCTTTTTTTCAATAAAAATCGATATAAATCACAATGCAGGGATGCTTCTGGCAACAGTGTCACCCCATCCACTTTTATAACGGTTTTCTGTCCGTCGATCGTAAATCATTTTTTCGCGGGTAAAATAACGGCTGTTAGAGAATCGTCGGACGTTGCCATATTTAAGAGATGTAAAAATCACGAAAATAATCGATCGATTTTAATAAGGGAAAAATGAAAGCCTACCTCGCTTTAAAATTTCAAACTTGAATGGATAGGAGGAACGTCGGAAGCCTACCAAAGTATAGTGGTTACGAAACCGCACCACTCTACGCGCGTTATAATAAACTCGGGACGAAAATTCGCTTATTTTTCGCCTCCGACGCACCGTTTCCGAGATACGGCCCTTTTTCGAAATTTTTTTTTCCATTTTAAAATGGCTATAGCTCGAAAACGGTTCGTTTTTTGGGAAAACCGAGCAATTTTTTGCCCCATAGGGGACGGTTTACCACTCCATTTTACAAGAATCCGGTATCTGTTTTCCCATTTTCTTGATTTTGGTGCCCCCGCCGGCATCGTATAGAGTCTTAGGAGCCTACCTCGATTTAAAATTTTAAACTTGAATGGATAGGAGGAACGTCGGAAACCTACCAGGCTATAGTATATACGAAACCGCACCATTTTACGCGCGTTGTAATAAACTCGGTACGAAAATTCGCTTATTTTTCGCCTCCGGCGCACCCTTACCGAGATACGGCCCTTTTTCGAATTTTTTTTTTTCGATTTTAAAATGGCCATAACTCGAAAACGATTCGTTTTTTGGGAAAACGGAGTAATTTTTGTGTCCTTATGGGGACGGTTTACGACCCCATTTTACGGGAATCCGGTGTCAGTTTCCCCATTTTCTTGATTTTGGTACCCCCGCCGGCATTGTATAGAGTATTGCGAGCCTACCTCGATTTAAAATTTAAAACTTGAATGGATAGGAAGAACGTCGGAAACCTACCAGGCTATAGTGGTTACGAATCCGCACCACTCTACGCGCGTTATATTAAGCTCGGTACGAAAATTCGCTTATTTTTCGCCTCCGACGCACCCTTACCGAGATACGGCCCTTTTACGAAATTTTTTTTTCGATTTTAAAATGGCTATATCTCGAAAACGGTTCGTTTTTTTAAAAAACCGAGCAATTTTTTGCCCCATAAGGGACGCTTTACCACCCCATTTTACCGGAATCCGGTATCGGTTTCCCCATTTTCTTGATTTTGGTACCCCCGCCGGCATCGTATAGAGTATTGCGAGCCTACCTCGATTTAAAATTTAAAACTTGAATGGATAGGAGGAACGTCGGAAACCTACCAGGCTATAGTGGTTACGAATCCGCACCACTCTACGCGCGTTATATTGAGCTCGGTACGAAAATTCGCTTATTTTTCGCCTCCGACGCACCCTTACCGAGATACGGCCCTTTTTCGTATTTTTTTTTTCGATTTTAAAATGGCCATAACTCGAAAGCGGTTCGTCCAATCAAAAAAAGGACAAAATTTTCATCCTTTGAGGGTCGCTTCTCACCCCCGTTTACCCTTAGAAGACATTTTCTCCGATTTTTTTTCAAAAATTACAAAATTCGAGGGGGTAAAATTTGGAGGGGGGGGGTTGATACTTTGCCAGTCGATTCCCCACGCCGAGTTTGCCGGTCCACCTATTTAAAATGCTGAGGCCGGTACGAAAATTCGCTTATTTTTCGCCTCCGACTCACCGTTTCCGAGATACGGCCCTTTTTCGAAAATTTTTCGAAAATGTCGAAATCTCGAAAACGGCTCGTCGGATCGAAAAACGCACGAAATTTTCGCCCCAAAGGGGTCGCTTCTCACCCCCCTTTACCCTTAGATGACATTTTCTCCGATTTTTTTTTTTCAAAAATTACAAAATTCGAGGGGGTAAAATTTGGAGGGGGGGGTTGAGACTTTGCCAGTCGATTCCCCACGCGGAGTCGGCCGGTCCATTTAATGAATGATGCCGAGGCCGGTACGAAAATTCGCTTATTTTTCGCCTCCGACGCACCGTTTTCGAGATACGACGATTTGAAAATTTTGAAAATTTTTCCAAAAAACCGCCGTATCTCGGAAAC